TTTTAACTTTTGTTTAATAGTTAACACATACTACGAGTAATATACGCAATTTAGAAATATCGAATCATATTGAACTAACATTCTCTATATTCTTTTAACATTTATCTAATAGTTAACACATAGTTCGAGTAATATACGCAATTTAGAAATATCGAATCATATTGAACTAACATTCTCTATATTCTTTTAACTTTTGTTTAATAGTTAACACATACTACGAGTAATATACGCAATTTAGATATATCGAATCATATTGAACTAACATTCTCTATATTCTTTTAACTTTTGTTTAATAGTTAACACATAGTTCGAGTAATATACGCAATTTAGATATATCGAATCATATTGAACTAACATTTTCTATATTCTTTGAACTTTTGTTTAATAGTTAACACATAGTTCGAGTAATATACGCAATTTAGAAATATCGAATCATATTGAACTAACATTTTTCTTTTCGTAATTTTGATGGAATGTAATTTTTTTTTAGTCTTCTTACTTATCAGGCACGTCCAACTGTGCAAAACATTTGGGTGAAGGCAATGGTAAATGAATAAACATTGTCTGACAATCAATAAAAAACACGCTTTATAATATTATTGAACAATTTTGCACAATAATGATTACCGTATTGTACATAGAAGATATATATGAAATTATTTGTCGTAAATCACACAAACAATAACAATGTTTCAGGTAATAATCAGTATACACATCATACAGATACACAAAAAGTTAATAACAGTGTATTATTTAGAATTTGCCAAAGAACTGTAGTATATTTTTATTGGCAACAAAACACTGGAGACACTTGACCCCCCCCCGGTCCCGACCAATTTTGTACAGTTAGTGGAATCTATTAGTGCTTATGGTATTTTATATTTTTCTGGAAAACGGGCGATGTTTTAATTAGCAGAAGTTTGAAGACGTACATGTAATTTTCATCGATAATAAACAGTGGGTGTGCCCTTGTAGGGAACCCTGGTTATATGTGGAGAAACTTGTACTGTCTGTTAATAATAAACAGTGGATGTGTCCTTGTACGTAACCCTGGCTATATGTGGAGACACTTGTACTTCTGTACTGTCTGTTGATAATAAACAGTGGATGTGTCCTTGTAGGGAACCCTGGCTATATGTGGAGAAACTTGTACTTCTGTACTGTATGTTGATAATAAATGGTGGATGTGTCCTTGTAGGGAACCCTGGCTATATGTGGAGAAACTTGTACTTATGTACTGTCTGTTGATAATAAACGGTGGATGTGTCCTTGTAGGGAACCCTGGCTATATGTGGAGAAACTTGTACTTCTGTACTGTCTGTTGATAGTAAATAGTGGATGTGCCCTTGTAGGGAACCCTGGCTATATGTGGAGAAACTTGTACTTCTGTACTGTCTGTTGATAATAAACAGTGGATGTGTCCTTGTAGGGAACCCTGGCTATATGTGGAGAAACTTGTACTTCTGTACTGTCTATTGATAATAAACAGTGGATGTGTCCTTGTACGGAACCCTGGTTATATGTGGAGAAACTTATACTTCTGTACTGTATGTTTAGGTAATTATAAGTTTTATTAACTTATGTTTCAGGCAAGCTGGTCGAAATGCGGAAGCCGAAGACTACTACCACTTAGCGGTCAAGTTACGGCCAAATGTAAGTGTTTCTATTTATAGTTACAAGTAGTGTTTAGCTATAGGATACGTCTGACCCCTCAGTGTTTTGCTTGTAACTATAAATTAGTGTTTAGCTATAGGATACATCTGACCCCTCAGTGTTTTGATTTATAGTTACAAGTAGTGTTTAGCTATAGGATACATCTGACCCCTGAGTGTTTTGATTTATAGGTTACAAGTAG